TGTTGGAGAATTTTTTGATCAGACCTTCCATTAGATAGATTATCACTGAATTGAATGGAAAACTGATTTATTCTAAAATAGTGTTAAGGAGAAAACAAGGGTATAGGGTAATGCTTTATCTCAAAAATCACGGTTTATGATGCCCCGACAAAGGGGGCGTTGTCGTCTATGGACCTTTTTTTTAACATTTGAATGCCTCAATTTATCTCTTTGACTTTTTAAAGTTAAGGTAGTGTTTGGTTAGGGCAAAATATTCTTTCGAAAATTTTCATTCTAATTTTCTGGGTTTGGTAACTTTTTTTATGCAGTTGACTTTATTACAAAGTGGTATCGTTCATACTATTATCAACAAGTCAAGATTCATGGAGAAGTTTATCCAGGTTCGAGTCCTAGCGGAGGCAGAAGCATTGGCTCTTGTGAGTCTCTATTTGGTAACATAAATGATAGGAAAATATTTTCCTGAAAATATATTTTCTCTCAACAAGTGGAAAATATTTTCGGTTTGATTTGGAAGGAAAATTTCCATTCACTCTCGGCCTTCGTCCACAATTGCCCTGCCAATCTGCCATGCCTGCCCCCAACCCCCAATCCCCCATCCATTATACTCCTACCCCACCCCGAATTTTGTAGATCTAGATGGTGCACCAATGAAGCACACAAAAATAACAAGAAAACTTTAAAAATTGTATATATTAATGAGAAGGAACAAAAAAAATTGCCAATTAAAAAGCATTGTGACTATTTAATGGAGCCAAAATTTCACCATTTTTTTGGCTTTGGGGTGCGATGGAATAAATCAAAATGGATCTTTAAACTATCTGCGCTTCTTTAATTAATGAAGTAGCAGTTAGTTAAGCAATGCAACTTTCGACGTTGAGCCGGGGGTCTCTTTGGAAACAGCCTCTCTACTTTCGAGTAGGGGCAAGGTCTGCGTACACACACCCTCCCCAGACCCTACTCTTGTGGGATTTAACTGGGTTGTTGTTGTTGTTGTTGACTATTTAAAAATATTTGAGTAATATTTTTGAATATTTTTAAGAGTTCAATGACATTATTAAAAGAGAAAAATAGATAGTCATTTTTTTTTCAAAAGAGAAAAACAGATAGTCACTTTTTTTTACACATGGTAAGTCCATGATTAACTTATTTAATTGGCATGAATGGCCAAATACTTTTTCAAAAGTTTGGATCTCAATTAGCTTTCCATTGATTGACGGAGTGTATAGATTAACTGGATATATTGACTTTATTGATTCACATATATTCACGTCATCTTTATTGATTCACATATATTCACGTCATCGATTTTATATTTTTTTAATTTGTTAAAAAAACATTAAAAATAAGAAATTAGCTAAATAGAAGTAAAACACAGAAAACATATCAAAATAGGAATTTATTTTTATTCTCTAAATAGGAGTTTGCTTTGTGGTAATGTGACACTGTACATATATATTTTATTATACTTTTTGGTAATATATATGGTCATTATTGGTAATGTAAATGAATTTCATCGTCTATTTTGTAAATAAAAACATAGAATTCCTATTTGGGTTTATTATTAATGTTTTACTCTTATTTTAGTCTTTTACCTAAAAAATTGCGTGATTCATACAATTTTTCTTTTTTTTATTTATATAAATCTCAATAAGACAATAACATATCGTATGGTTATTACTACCTCCGTTCTTGAATATTTGTCCAATTTTAACTCTTTTGACTCAACTATTTTAACCTTTGACCTATTATTAATTAAAATATATATTGTATACTAATTAGATAAAATAATATTTTAAAAATATTAATATAATAAATCTAATAAAACTATTTTTTGTATCAATGTCTAATATCACTCTATTTATTTTGATTTCAAAATTTACAAGTTTTGATCGAAAAAGGTCAAAAATAGACAAATACTACAAGATGGAGGGAGTACTAAATTGTTCGTGGAATTTTATTTTAAAAAGAATATTTTATGGTTGTGACAACTCACAAAGTGTGAAGTGGGCCACGTGAAATTTCATTTTTTCCTAAAAACAAATAGTATAAAAATAAAGTAGGACAAAAGTAGGCATTTTCAATGAAAAAATGAGTAAAGGGTAAAACAAATACTCGGTATTTTGTACCGAGAGTATACTTTAAAGGCGCTCTCTTAAATACGGGGTAGTAAATATTCCATCTTAGTGACCCTGGTTTTGACCATACAAATAGGGGTGAGCGTGGTACGGTATGATACAGTATTTAGCTCGTACCAATATCGTATTAAATATTTTGGTTGGTATATGATTTTATGTTATACCAGTCCCGATCATGAAGCATTGGTTTGGTATGGTTCGGTATCAGTTTCGGTATGAATCGGGATGAATATATACGTACCTAGTTTACACCATAAAATGTAACAAAATCTTTTATTTTTGAAAAATTGAAAATACATTTAACCAAAGAAAGATAAAAAAAATTTAATAATGAAAAAATAAAATGTAAGAAATGCTTATGAAAGTGAGTTTATACTTCAAAAACTAAATAGAACGAGTGATAACAAAGTATTAATTCAAATGTTTGTTAATATTCGTATACTCATCTAAAAAAAATAAAAAAACTCTTAATAAAGTACAACTTACACATAATGAAATGAAATGAAATTGTCTATATAAATTTTTTATTTAATGAAGAAATATAAAAATATTATTATTTTTATTACATATTAGTATATATATTAAGTTCGGATATTTCGGTATGGGAAGTAACCTCGTATCGTTTCCAAATACCGGACCGAACGTTTGGTTTAGTACGGTTTGGTTATTTTGCGGTATTTTATCGTTTCGATATTTTTCGGTTTGGCATTTTCGTTTTTTTGGGAAATATCGGGATCGATTCGGTCCTTTCTCACCCCTACATACAAGTTACGTGATAGACTTTAGGCTTGTTTCTAGTGGGGTGTGCAAGAACTGGTATAGACCGTTTTTTGGTCCTGAACCGGACTGGAATGGACCGGTCCAACGGGTTCAAGTCCGGTCTTAGGGTTTAGCAAATTAAGGATTTCTGGTTTTTAAGTCCGATTCAAGTATAACCCGAAATAATCTGGTCCGGACCGAAAAATGTTATAAGCCCAAATACTCTTTGGTCCATGTGAAGCCCATTTCTTTTGGTAGCCAGATGCTAATCCCTAATTAGGGTCTTTTTTCCTCCATTTCCTACCCCAACAATATCACAATTTATTTTTCAAAATGCATTTAGATTTAGATGTGAGTCTTTCTTCTTCGGTTCATTAATTTTTTGCATTCTTTAAAATCAAGGGTTTTAAAATTTCAAAACTGAATATTTTGATTTCACTTTTTAAGTGTTGATTTTGATTTTCATAATATCTTCATTTCAAGTTTGCATGAACAATTTGAATATCATATTTTTTATTGAATTGAATGATAGCGGCTTGCTCTATTCTACTGTATAATTTACGTGTATACTTTGATGTTGTTTTTTTGGAGAGATGTTGCCTTTAGAATTGATTTGGGAAAAAATTTAAAAAAATAAAAAAATCCGGTCTAAAGTAAGGTAAACCCAGAATTAACCGGAAATAACAGATCCAGACCGGTCCAGGCCGGTCCAGATTGATTACAATCAGGTACGGTTTTCGGTCCAAGCAAAAACATGATTCCGGTTCTTGGACCGGTGCACACCCTACTTGCTTCATCGAAGGAGAGGAGTGATTTTCTGTGATACTACCACATCACTAACGAACATCCCTCATCACCCCACCCGCTCGTGAGTGTTGTGCGTGAGTGGATGGGAGAAAGGTAGTGGTCACGGCCACGATGAAGCTTCTATTGAATCATCAAATAATATATCGTCGGAAATAATTTTACAAAATCTATAAAACGACACCAACATTATATATATATATATATATATATATATATTGTCTCATTTATATTTTTTTCTTTTAAGTTAAAGTAGTTAATTTTTTTTTTTATAAAAAAAATTAAAAGTACAAAATTAATACAAAAAAAAAGTTTTCTTTCTTTTTTTTTAAAAAATGTCTCATATGATGCAACATTCTACGGAGTATAAAAAAGTAAAGGAAACAAAAAAAATCACTTTTCTTCTTCTAAACGAAGTATAACACAAAAAAAATGAAATTTTAATTTAAAAGATAAAATTTAATGTGAGTAGAAATATGTAGATATTAACTAAAAATAAGTGTTCATTGTGGTGAAATTGAGATATTACTTGCGTGAAATAAGTGAGATGATGAGTGGAGTCAGTTCTGATGTAGCATAAATTTTGATTTTGAACTAGTGATTGTGCAACGCTACAAATAGATTTAGGGGTTGTTTGTTTCAGCCTCTTAATGGTTCAGATGTCTGAATGGTTCAGCACTTAATGGTTCAGACTGTTTGTTTCAGCCTGTTAATGGTTCAGATGTCTGAATGGTTAAGAGATTTGCCTCTCAATAGTTAAGTATTATATAGAATCTGAATTGTTAAGACCTCTTATCTGAATTAATCAGACATTTGCCTCTGAATAGTTACGCAATATACTAGCTGTTAATGGTTCAGACCTCTTACTAGTTCAGCACTTACCCATTCAGAAGTTGCCAAAATGCCCCTCATACAATTAGTTCACATGGCATTTTTGCAACAAATTATTTCCTTGGTCCAAAAAGGAGTACTTCGTTTGATTTTATATAATGTAACCCACGCCTTCGTTGATACTCACTACCGCTTCAAAGTCTACCTGTGCAAGAGAGAGCATTGTATCCTAGGTGGTCAAGCCAATTTACAGTTCGTCTTTCATAATACGCCGGCCAGTGAATTTCGCACGGAGTCACCGGAGAAGCCAGCTAATAACCATTGATGCCTGGCGGAGATCAGAATGGTTAAGCGCGAGCTATCCAGTACTTTGAAAAACTTGAAGGTGAACATAAATGTGACCTAGAACGCATTGATGTTGTGAGTTTTCTTTTTGCTTTTTTTTTTAAAAATTTGAAATCCATACAAAATTTTGATATTCCTGAAAGCAATGGAATGGATTTTACTTGAATCAATACGCAATTACTCTTTATTTACGACCCTTTAACTTATCTGCTCTACTGTGTGTGTATGTGTGTGTGTGTGTTTGAGAAATTCTTATGGTAGACAAGGTACATTATTAACTTCTGGATTCTTTAGCTCCAAGACAGTTATTTTTATTAATGAGATGTGAGATTCGCTAATGAAAGAAGTCGGGGCGTCCTTCATTGCAGTTTATGCAAAGGGCACCCAACAACAGAGAGGAGAAAGCTAAGGAGGCAGAAGATGTCTTGCTTGATGGTATCTTCACTTCTTCGAGTGCTCCCAAAAGATGGGGTGAGCAATTCTTTCTTCTGCATTTCTATAAGGAGTTACGGTGTCTATTTGATCTTATTCTAATTTGTAGGCAATGTAATGTCAAATTATCATAGAACTCCGTATTTCACTTCTAGCTAGTTTCCTCCTAAAGGCTTTTATTTGCATCAAATTCCCATTCTTATTTAGTATTCAGCATTTGGTTCTCACCGACTCTTAGTTTTGGATAGTTGGATTACGGGATCAGGGTTTCATAGGGTTGTGGGCGGATTGGGGGATTGGGGAATACGAGTTTCATAAGCTTAATTTAATGATTATAGCGGTTCCTCTTTTGGAAGCAATTCATGGTAAGATTTTTGAGATCTGGCTGGGTATAATTATGTTTTTGATCTGTTGTCAAGGAAGTCTCTAACGCTTAGGACAAGAATAGCAAGTGGCTAGGTTTTTCCTTTGGCAAAAGTATTCCAACCAAAAGGCGCGGGAAAAATGAATCAACGGGGTAATGGGTCAATGTTCTGTCATATTCCAATTCCCTTTTTTTGGTGCTTAGATGAAACTTCAATGACTTTTCAATTTCAGTGTTGTTATTATGGAAGGAGATCCTCATCCCGGGGCAAGAAGGAGCAGGATGTCATTTCAAAATTTTAACCCTGTTATTGATGTGAGCAAAAGGTTTGAATAACTTCAAATAATTTCAATATGCTTTTGTTAGATTTAATCGTATTGTTTGATTCCTGGTCAGAAGTTAGTTAGTTTATATTTAAATTTTAAAAATAAAAGGGACAGTTATGGGTAGATATTTCTAGAGGTTATAGGTAGTTATTTCTAGAAGTTGTATTAGTTGGTAATAGATGTGTTGATTAGTACCAAAAGTTGTGTTGGTTGTTGTCTATAAATAATCCAGGAACATAGAATTCCTGTATGTAGATCACAATAAAAAATCAGAATTCTATACTGCATTTGATTTGTTCTTCCTATTATTTATTTTTTCCTACAGCTTTACCTCTTTCACTTCTGGTAGTTGTCTATCTACTTACAAGCAATGTTTTTTTTTATAGAAATTAAATGAAGAAGAGCTAGAGCCTAGCAAACTGGAAGCCTCTGAAACATCTTCTGGAACTACAAGTGGAATAGTTTCTAATAGGTAACTTCATGTCTTTAGGTTAACTACAAATATAATTTGGTGATTATTGCTTGATTATTATGCAATAATTTTTTATGTATAAAATATCAAACTAAAAAAGCTTCTACAAACTAAAATATTATACAATAATTTTGACTTTAAGTCTAAATGTGGGTTATGGTGAATTGATTCCTTATATGGCACTTTAAGTTTCAAAACTCTTTGACTAGTTATCTTTCAATATTACATTTGACCTAAACGCTTGCCTTGTTAAGCCCTCCTAAGTTTCACATAAATTTGGCAATGAACTAAAAGCTTCAAAGTTCATGAAAGAGCTATTCTTGAGGAGCTAAAGTGTATGGTTTTTATTTGGCCAAGTAGTATGTCGTTGTTCTTTTTAGGTTTGTAGTTTAATTTACATAGGGAAAAGGAACGAAATAGGATTAAAACATAGCAAGGAGGACCTTCATGTTTTTATCCCAAAATAGGACATGTAATGCCAACATACAATACCAAAAAATAATGTGGAATGCCAATAGACAAAGCCACATTATCATTAAGTGCTAGCAATTCCTTCTTGTGACCCTATCATATTACTGACTTGAACAAATGAATTTGGATTAAAACAAAGAAATTCTAGCTAGTTACTAGGCTTCCAACAGGAGACAGCATGAAGCACCTTCCCTTTCCATCCTTGCAACAACCAGTTCCCATCTTCATCCATGGTGAAATTCTTGTTGTACTCTGATTTCACTTTCTCCCTTACACCCTTGACAATCTCTTGATCAAGTGGCAGTGGCTGGAGCCCAGCTCTAATGCTTCTAAGCTGCCATTGCCTATACGTCTCTGGCCTTTCAACTCTCTCTGTTCCTTCACAAGCTATCACATTCATCATTTCTCTAGCTAGCACCGTTCCCTCAAAAAGACACCTGTCATTGTCTTCGCGTGGCACGGTCTCCTCAAGTATGTCAAACAGTGAGGAGAAGTGAAAGAGTGTCTCTCGGAGTCGCATGCTGAAGTATGGGGCGTTGTAGGCCCCATTGACAACTCCATGGACATCAGGATTGATGTTCTTGATGAGATTGAGGACAATGTCCCTCGGACTGGTCGGCACCACTGTCTCGTCAGGCACGTTTCCCATCCGGTCCAAGCAGTTGACAATTACCGCGTCATCCTCCCTATCTAACTGTAATTCTTCGAGCTCTATAGTGTCCCATTTCTTTGCTATGGCGTTGAACTCAAACGGGACGTTGAATCTCTGGCAATACTTTTCGAGCCGAAGCCCGGTGGCATTGACCCGCTCCGCAGGGCGGAAACCGGGCTGGGGAAGGTCTATCCCAGTAATACGAAGTCTTGGGGGCCCACCAGGCATCGTCGAGAGAGCTTGGATCAGAGATGGCCATTGAAAACCATAAAAAATTCCAAAATCAATGATGTGCAGCCTGGTTGCTCCTCCACCCACAAGCTTGGCAATACATCTGTTGGCCATCATGCTTGTGACCATCTTAAAAGGGCTTGCTGTGAGATACATCTGGAAAGCTCTCAAGATGTCCGCCGCTGATACATTGCCCTGAGGAGACGTGTATATTGATGTCCCCCTGCCGTTCAAGCGTGCGTCAAGTGCATTTGCAAGATGGAAGGCCACCCTTTCCATGCCAGTGCCTTGAGGAGTAGCGTGCTGCCTGATCTTCTTCAGAGTTTCGCCGGCTGTCCCAATGTCA